AACCATATGGCAAAAGACGGCCATTTTGATTCCGCTGAAATCCTCAGGGCAGTCAACGAGATTAGCGAGAAGTAAGTGTCGTAAATATGGTGCAGTTTCTGTTTCGGTTGTTCACGAAGTAACGGTACACCCATAAATGAAGAATCAGGAACATAAGCCACCTGAAGCGTTCATTCAACTTCATGAGTCGATTGTCTCCAGGTTTATGAATCAGTCATTGCCAACACGAAGGTTTTGCATTCAGCAAAGGTGCCTCGCATGTAGTGCATAATTCTTCTTTTTTTGCGCGAATTTTTGTCTTTCGAACTCAGTGTTCTTATGAAGAACAAACAAAATACTTCTGTTTCTGTATTCTCCTGCATCGTGTGTTAAATATGTTTGAACCAATTTATCTGTGAGTTCTAATTCGAGGAGTGTAGAATTTCTTGCCGTCGAATGCCCCAGTCATTTGTCATTCAAAGTTTGACATCATGTCCTACATGTTCGTTGCATTTCTTCTTTGAAACCCCGCGTCATCTGCTTTTGTTTTCTAATCTTGCTGTTTCTTTTTTCCTGAAGTTGTGCTACTTCATGAAGATTATAGGCAAGTGTAAGTACCATTTTCAAAGATGAATTTGATTGAGGCTCTGCCAACTGCGATGTTAAAATCAACTGTGAACAGAGAACTTCGTCTGTAGACCTTTTCCTGATTTTTCTATGACATTCAACGATGATTTGCCAATAATTAAATTCTAGTTTTTAAAAGTTCCCTTCGTGGAAGCAGTGAAATGTGCATTAGCCGTATCATTTATTCCGTATGGCATAACTCTTTCATTACCTCATTAGTTTAATCCTGTGACCCATGAATCTCATCTGTGTCAGAGTCGCAGCCGTTGCAGAAAGCATGCATTCGCACTGACAAATACGAATGATCTGTTATTTTTCACCGGTCTCTTGGTGGTTTTACGAATATGCGAAGCATATTAAGAATGATGTTGTGCGACCAACTTCACAAAGCTGTTGTAGGGGTATATATAATGTGGCAATAAGTTAATGCGGTGAAAAACATGAGTTTTTTTGACGTTTATAAGTGCATACCTTCACCAAACTTAGTTTCACGGCCTTACGGCTTCTGTCTTGTTCTAAAACCACTTAAGCAGTTCACGGTATAAGTGATTTTACTTTTGTACCCATATGCTGTTACTAGCCTAGTGCAACCATTTGATTAATGAATGAGTCCTTGGCTAATTCAGCGTGTCGTTCCAAGCAAGCGCGTGCATTAACTTACTGAAATTTAGGTTTACGACCCTGGAGGGCCCAGCTGCTTTGAGACGCAAGAAACTGGAAGAGTCATTGGCACAGCATCGATTTTATTTTGATCTTGACTGTGAACTTCTCTGGATAAAGGAGAAGCTGCCCATTGTTTCATCATTAGATTGCGGTCAGTCGCTTACGGATGCCTTGAACCTCCACCGGAAGCATGAGGTAGGTAGCAAACCGTTCTCAACCTTTGCTGCCTGTTAGTCTGTAACTACGTGTGTTTGTTTTTAGCAGTTGGAGTCTGAAATCACCGGCCATCAGCCGGTTATCGACAATGTACTTAAAGCCGGACAACTACTGGTCAACTCTGGCCACTTCGCTAGAACAGAAGTGAATAAAAAATGTCAGCATTTGAGCACGGAGTGGAAATTGTTGAAAGAGCAAATGGCTAAGCGTGCCAAGTTACTGGAAGAGGCGCTAGTGCGACATCAGTACTTCTCCGGCATTGCCGAAGTTGAGCAGTGGCTGAAGGAGAAGTACGAATTCGTAACCTCGTCCAGTATCGGCAGCGACGAAGAAGCTGTCAACAGACTTGTGGCGAAGCACAAAGCTTTCCAGGTTTGCTATTAATACAAAATCAGTACTGTCGTTAACAAAGCACTTTGTTTCATAAGCGCAGTTTCGAGCTACTAAACATCATTCTTAGTGGCTTTATAAAACTTCAGTATACCTTCAACGGAGAGTGAGAAAGATTTTCTTTTGTTCTTTTTGCAGCTCAGCGAGCTGCAGTTTTAAACACATGTGTAAAGAAGATCAATAGGATAAAGCTGATGAGGATGATGTAAAAGATTATGCCGAAAATGAAACTGGCACGCTTTTATTCTCGATTCACTCATCAAATCTACGGATTATCGGAATTATGTAAAATAGATCCTTTAACCACTGGTCCGTTTTGACCCTTATACCTCCCTAATCATCAGGATAAATATTCAAATAGAACTGCGCGATACCATGTGAAAAGAAGCATTTACGCTGCCGTCTGAGTGAACACTACCTCAAAAGCTCCCTGCCACGAGTGCACACAGATATTCATATATAATATATAATGCGTGCATTCACATATATAGCATATACACTCATACGTAGCTCACATCTAACATGAATTTTTGATCGTACTTCCGTGTAAACAACTGGTCTGACATGCCAATTATTGTATTTGCGTTGACTGAAATTGATTTCGTGTGCAGAGCGATTTACTTCAAAAATTGGAGCATTATTTTTCTGGCTGTGTACTTTCCACTGGCAACCATTTGAGAGACGTGATTTATTGTTTCATGAAACCTTGTGACCAGTTTGGCCGATGATATTGCAGCTATCACTCGAACCCGTATGTTCATTACACATACGACTTGTTTTAGCCAAAATGTGCAACGATGCTTCATTTAATAACCCAGTGTTTGTTCATTCGGTTTCAAACAGTTTCATTCATCGGACTAAACGAGTGTCCCAGGAGGCTGCGCGTCGATGCAGTGTCGTAATCAGAACCGGCATTCCCGAATTCTAATCCTGACCGGGTCACTCGCTTCTCTTTCTTCCGAGATAGATCAATGAATACAATTTCTTGGTAATGAAGTGTTAGCCTATACGCTGTGGTTGTCACCAAGATGTAGCCATATACATGACATACTGTTAGAAACAAAGGACCGCAAAGTACTTCTGGTCACCGAAACGAATGTAGCGCCATGCCATGTCTAATAATCAAAAAGGGGTACCATAAGTGGCATCTCATCATGAAAGTATGAAGGAGACCGACTTCCGATCAGATAGAAACTTTTCTTTTCTTTGAAGGTAGAACGCATGCGAAACGTAGCCGCAATTTCGCTTCTCGTTTCTCATAGCTCTCATTTTTCCACAGCAACTTGGTCTATTCCAGTTCTTGTTTTTCCAATGTA